CTATGGACTTTATATATAAGAAAACCTTCAACAAAAAATTGCACACACACACACACACACACACACACACACACACATGAGAGGGGCCTCAGCAGTTAAAACTCACTCTGCTTTTGCAGAGGACCCGCGTTTGGTTTCCAGCTCACAACCAACTGTAACTCAGCTCCAGGGGATCCAATGCCCTCTTCTAGCCTCTGAGTGTGCCTGTACCACACACACACACACACACACACACACACACACACTTTGGAACATGATACACCTATTCCCATAGTTCCAACAAATTATCTTCTTCTAAATGTTAAGATTTGTATTTATAAAGCTTTTTCCCATAACAAACAAATTATTTTTAAGGCACACAAAAGGAAAAAAATCAGGATTTAAAACTGAGATATTTAAATACTTGTTAAGCCTAATGTACTCTGTCTTACTGTTAAAAAACTAGATCTATCTATCTTGATTTTTTTTTTTTTGAGACAAGGTTTCTCTGTGTATTCCTGACTGTCCTTGAACTCGCTCAGTAGACCAGGCTGGCCTCAAACTCGCAGAGATCCATCTGCCTCTGCCTCCCAAGTGCTGGATTAACGACGTATGCCACCACTCCTGACTCAGGAGCCACTCATAAACTTGACTCAGTGTGCACACTGCATGTATCACAAGACAATCCAGACGCAGGCCTTTACCGTGGAGATCTGTGTTGTGATCTGATGCACTGTGAAAGCAAGAGGAGGAGCCAGAATCGCAAGCAGTGAGGGAAACATTCACTTATCAGTGTTATTTCTTTGCAAGAACTCATTCATCATTTACATAAATAAAAATACGTTCAGCCAGGCCATGGTGGCATATGCCTTTAATTCTAGCACTTGGGAGGCAGAGGCAGGTGGATCTCTGTGACTTTGAGGCCAGCCTGGTCTACAAGAGCTAGTTCCAGGACAGGCTTCAGAGCTACAGAGAAACTCTGTCTTGAAAAAAACAAAACAAAACAAAGCAAACAAACAAAAAATGCTCCACAAAGGACATAAAAATATATTTATTTTTGTACTGTTTTCTCAAAGAAAATTCCCGAAGCCCAGTCAAACACAACGAAGCCGTTAAGCGGGGTGGGTGGCACGTGCCTATAACTGCAGCACTTGGGAGACAGAGGCCAGAGGATGCTCAGGTGATCATTACAGAGAGTTAGCGGCCAGCACAGACTACGTGACACCCCATCTCAAAAACTAAAATAAACAAATGAAATAACAATCCACCGAACCAAACTAGTCATCTGAGTAAGACGCTCTGTACAGTGTGCTTTAGGAAATATATAGGTGCCGAGACAGTGCCAGCCTGCAGTTTTGTTATGAGACTTCAAAATTTATACATAAAATATTTCAATAGCTGGGCCTGATGATTTGTACCTACAGCCCAGCACATGGGAGGCAGAGCCAAGAGGATCAGCCTGCTACATACCAAGTCCAAGGACAGTGTACTCCACAGAGTTCCAAGCTAGCCAGGTCTACATAGCAAGACTCAACCCCAAAACAAGCCTGCCACCTAAAAACAGGGGTTTCAATATGTATGACATCACTGGTAGACAAGCAGTTGATTCCAAACGTATTACTCCTCGCTTTGAGAGTGAAGACCATACGGGAAGGTTAAGCTCTTTTGTAGACATCCATAACAACAAAGGAGTTTTAGATTACTGGTTGAGAAAATACGGTGAAGGTTATTATAAACACTAGAACACCAAAACACCACTTTCTAAATGACATAGGACGTTTCCGTGCTGTCACGGAGGCTCCCTTTGATCACATGACTCTGTTATCCTCACTGTTCCAGCAAGTGAGAAGAAAACTGGCTCTCTCTTCCTTCCTATACTTACATGAATTTCAGAATCTCACTGACCCAGCGTCTGAATGTGCCTCAACCACAGTAACAAGCCTGTGACAAAGGGGCCAGGCACGTGACTTTGTACACATCGGCTCTCCAGGGCTGGGCACAGCAGTGCTACTCACAGCCTATCAACCAGAACTCACATGACAGTTTCACTAACTTCAGGAGAGAAAAAACAAGGCTGGGGGGTCCCTAGCCCACTTTTTCTAAGAAATGCAGCTTGTTGATGAGAACACCACCATCACACTTCAGAGAAGCAAGGCCAAGCACATGTCCGAGGCGGGTTAATTATTTGAGTAGCCAACACTTGGTTGAGCATATGAGTTTGAGAATCTGGTCACAGGCTGGTTTCCACGGGAAGCTGTCCAGAGCGCCAAGGCAGTCTGCATGATGCTAGGTTGGGAAGGTTTCTGGGGATGAGCTGTGCCTGAAGGAATGTGCCGGATTGTGAAACGGATGGGGAAGGGCAACCCAGTCAAACCGACAGCAAAGGCAGGAGGCAAAACAGGGCAGCTTGGCTGGAGCCGGAGGCACGTGGAAGTGCTTTGTGAACTCAGAACAGGGTGGATGTGATATTCATCACAGAGAACAGGGTTGGGAGGCCAGAGTAAGGACAACGTGAATGCTCGAAGGGCCACTAGATAAGTGGCCTCAGTGGCGGTTAACTTTTGTGGACTTTGACTTCCTTATGTGGGAGGAAATGTGGGAGATAGCCGTCACTCAACCTCACAGGGCTGTCTTGGGGTTAAATATTAGCCTGTGGTCAACATTCAAGGATGCCAGCTACTAATCAAGTTCCTTACAGTGGGATTCAGGAAAGGGTTAACAGCAGTGTGAGCCATGGGAGGAGTGATGAGACACACAATCCAGTGCAACTGATGGACAAAGTTTGCACTTTACGCATTAGACAAAGAAAAGCTACAGTTGAGAGGAGGTATACGTACAGTTGAGAAGCAGTCATGCCCGTTAGTACTACAGCCAAACTCTGCCTGGGCACGGAGCTGAGATAAAACAGCAGGTGGACAGATGCAGAGAAAGGCACAGCCAGGAAAGGAGGTAGAGGTGGACGCTTGCAGGCAAGGCGTGAAGAAAGAGAGCTGGGTACATCCAGTACATCATTTACCAAAATGCAAGCAAGCAATGGGAAAGCTGAACTGGGGGCTGGAGAGGGGGGAGGAAGCGGTCTGTAGAGGTGACGTGGGACATCCTGATAGCTCACTGGGTATGCAGGGGCATCAGAAGTGGTGTCTGGACCCAGGTGTGGTGGCACACATCTGTAACCCATCCCAGCATGGGGAGGCTGGAGCAGCTGGATGGGAAGTCTGACCTCATCCTGAGCTACACACACAGCACATTCCAGGCCAGCATGGGTTCTAGAGTGAGACACTGATTTAAGAAGAGGCGAGCAGATGGGCTGCTGGGACGGTGTGGACAAAAGAGGACAGAGCCCAAGGGGCAGCAGTTCTGTGGGAGACGGGAAAGAGAAGCCGGAAGGGGGAAGAAGACAGATCCGAGTGCCGGAAGGAAGACAGGGGTGCCTGTGATGCCCAGGGGAGTGTGACCAGGCCAGAGAGCCAAGGGGAACACAAACTGCTAGAATGTTAAGTGGTGTGTTAAGTGCTCTTAAGATGCCGAGGGGGGAGCTGTACTGGAAAGGACCAGCTGGCTCAGACACCCTGCTGTCCTGAAGAGCGCTTTCGGCTTAGTGCCTGAAGTAACTTCAATTTCCCACTAAATGGGACTTTGTCAATATGCTGGAGCACTTCTGACATACTGTGTGTACCTGTATGTTAGTGTGGAGAGACTTTTGGAACTGCTCTTTCCGCCGCCTCCTCCCTCCACCCCTCCTCCACCCTTCTTCCAGGATCCGCTGACTTATTCCTCTCTCCACTATTAAGCCCCCCTGGACTGTAAATGTGTTGAAATTTAACCCCAGCATTTAGGACAATACTTTGAGTATACAGCCACTCATGTTTGTTGAACGAAAAGCCAAAAGTAAGTGAGATGTCAGCCAGCAAGAGAAGTAAGTGGTGAAGGACATTGTAAGTAATGGAAGTGGTCGGAGCTCTGACTCAGACCTTAGCCTTGCTAGTGTTCAGCTGGACCCTGGGCGAGCTCCTCAGATGTGGAATGGGCTTCACAGAACGTGTTCCAAAGAGCATTCTCCCAACTGATGTGTGTTTGCAGATATTTAGGATGCTCAGTTTCTCCAAAATTCCTACCTGAGAACCATGTGTAGAAAAAAATTTAAACAGTTATAAATGAACCCCTTTGTTGTTGCTGTTTTGGTTGTTTGGTTGGTTATTTTAAGGGTTTTTAAATTTTGTTTTGTTATTTATTTATTTGGGGTTTTGTTTGTTTGTTTGAGACAGGTTTCTCTATGAAGCTCTGGCTGTCCTGGAACCTTCTCCATAGACCAGGCCGGCCTCGAACTCACAGAGATCTGCCATTTGTCTCTGCTTAAGACAGGGTCTCATGTAAACTTGGACTTGGTTAGTTGGACGGGTGGTGGTGGCCACCCACGTCTTTAATCCCAGCACTCAGGGGGCAGAGGCAGGTGGCTCTCTGTGAGTTTGAGGCCAGCCTGGTCTACAAGAGCTAGTTCCAGAGTTTCAGGACAGCTAGAACTGTTACATAGAGAAACCTTATCTCGAAAAACAAACAAACAAAAAGAAAAAAGAAAAAAAGAAAAGGAAAGGAAAGAAAAAAGAATGACCTTGAACTCCCAATCTTCTTGCCAACCATCCCTGATGCTGGCATTATAAATGTGAGCCACCCTATCACTAATTGACAATTGACCTCTTTTCTTCTATACTAATGTTTACAGCAACCAGAAACTGCCAAGCACACCACAACAAAACCATGGGGATAAGCCTGCGCTGCCTGAGACTCTGGGAGTATGGAGAAATTAAATGTGTCTTTTACAGGAAACAGCTTTGACAATAATTAACATCCACGCACAAATCAGCCGAGCATGTAAAGAGCATGTGTGTTCTTGCCACAGTGTTTACTGAAACGACAAAAAGGAAAAGCGCAAGCTTCTTCCACAAACTAATCTTTTCTATGAAAACAAAAACGGGGGAAGGGGAGGAGACAAGATACTAAGTAGTCCCTCTAAATTTACTTACAAATTCTTCTTCTGTAATATTTGGCGGATCTGAAACGAGACAAAATGTTACATTTTCTCACTCAGATCTGACTTCCTTCTAGACTAAATGAAATTCTCTAATAAAGTGGGGCAGCACCTACAGCATCGTCGGGGTGAACTCAGTAAAATGTTTACTATTCGTGCATGGATTAGATTTTTAAACTAGAATATTCAAGGTGGAGTTGGGGAAGAGAGGCCTCTGGACTCTGACTTGGAACCTACAGTGCCCCCGAGCTAGCCGAAGGTCCCCAGCTGCAAATGGAGACTTTGGCGAGGTAGAGCAGCGTGGGAGAAGGACCGGAGCGGGGCGGACGCGGGGCGTGGGGTCCCACCTACCGGCCGAGAGCCGCTTCTCCGGCATGCCGTCGGGGCGCCAGCTGCCCGGTCCCGCTGTCGGGGACCGACGGGCGC